GTACCTTATCATTGTGCCCCTATCATAACGAACCAGGATCTCAAGCCCCAGTCATATTATTTGACGTATATGCCATGTGTGAGGTTCTTTAGTAAATGTATTAACTCTGACCATGACCCTATAAGATGGGTAGTACAAATAAAGTCACTATTGGAAAGTCTAGCTAAGGCAAGATAGAAAGTTAGGGAATTGGAGGCTAGAAAGATGGTTCAGCATTTAAGAGCATTTGCTGCTCTTCCAAAGGACCTGGGTTTGGATCCAAGCATCCACATCAGGCAGCTCATAACCACTTATAACTCCAGATCCAGGAGATCTGAAACCTTTGTCTGCTTTCCTTTGGCACCCACACACATGTCACACACACACACACACACACACACACACACACACACACACACACACATAAATAAAGTAAAAGTAAATATTAAAAAGAAAGGAAAATTGTGGGGACATGCAATAGAAAGGAGCCCACCATTCCAGAATCTGATTAAAGCTTCTTATCAGCTGAGAAGCAAGAATTCCAGCACAGTCAATAACATTGACTGTAAAAGGCTGTCAACATAGAGTTGATATTCTTTTCATAGATAGTTTGTTGAAATAACAATGATCCAGGCTTAAGGCCTGAATGTATATGACCTTGATTGAGTAGGTCATCATTCCTTTCCCCAAACATTGCCTGAGATTTTCAAACAAAACTATTTCCAATAAATATATCCCACAAAGCTTCATATATCCATGTGGCTATATGTTCACAGTGAATCCTCCTGGCATTCACGTGATTCTTAACCCTCAGAGTATGAATTGTCTGATGCTCTGAATAAAGTTGGCTATTACATGAGACTTTAGTCCACCTCAGTTTTAGGCTCTACTCTCCCAGGTTCTCACTGCCAACTAGAGCGGTGAACTGCTCTGCTTTTGGTTTTGAATGAATGCTGGTAACATATAGACAAAAGCAACAATACCTAGTAAAACATCATCAACCTGATGTTTACAACATTCAACACAACTCACTATTGTGTATAGTGAATGCAAAAATGTCCACAAAATGCTTCCAGGAGGGCTGGAGAAATGGCTCTGCAGGTAAGTGTGTATTGCTCTTACAGAGGACCAAGATCAGTTTCCAGGACCCACATCAGAGGGGCCACAGATACCTGTACCTTCAGTTCCAGGGGATCAGATGCCCTCTCCTCCCAACTTGGGAACCCATACATGGACTTGTACACACACACACAAATACACATAAATTTTTAAAAAAATTAAAAATGCTTACCAACTGGAGGTGGTAGCACATACTTCTTTTTATTTATTTTTTATTTTATTATTATTTTTGTTCTGTTTTGTTTTTTCAAGACAGGGTTTCTCTGTGTAGCCTTGGCTGTCTTGGAACTCTCTCTGTAGACCAGGCTGGCCTTGAACTCACAGAGATCCACCTGCCTCTGCCTCCCAAGTACTGGGATTAAAGGTGTGTGTGACCGTATTTGGCATATTATATATTTAGGTTTTAAATTATTGATTTTGTGTACGTGCGTGCGTGCATGCGTGTGAGCACGCCTATTTGTTGTATGTGTACCACATGTGTATATTGCCTGCAGAGGCTAGAAAATGGCACCAGATCTTCTGGGACTAGAGTTACACACAGTTTGTGAACCACCCAATGTGGGTACTAGAAACTGAACCAGGTCCTCTTCAGGAGCCACAAATGCTCCTAACCACTGGGCCATCTCTCCAGACCATATTTATGTTTTTAATAATAAATTTTTAATTTTTAAAATTATATAATAACATAATTCCCCCTTCCCTTTCTTCCCTCCAACCCTTCCAAACATGCACCTCCCCGCTCTCTCAAATCATAGCCTCTTTTTCTTTCACTGTTGTTACATATACACAAATACATAAATACAACCTGTTTAATCTGTGTGATGCTTCCTGTATGTATATGATCATAGAGCTGACCACTTGGTATTGCATATCCTATTGGGGGCTCGTCGCCAGGGAAGACCATTTCTTCCACTTTTGTCATTTATCAGATACCCATAGTTCTTGGTCTAGGGTTGAGGCCCCACAAACTTTCCCCATTCCATGTCAGCTTGCCTATTTGTGTCACTGTTGTCCAGGTCATGTTTAGCTGCCATATTGATGAGACTTCACGGGTCTAGCCTCTTAGATAGAACACAACCTCACAGCAAACTTCCCATTTCTCTGGCTCCTCCAGTCTTTCTGCCCCCTCTTCCACCATGATCCCTGAGCCTTGGGTACAGGAGTTGTGTTATAGACACACATGTCAGTTGGGACTAGGAAGCACACAGTATTTTGTTTTCTGCATTTTGATCAATTGTGGTTTTCTACAATGGTCTCCATCTGTTGCAAAGAGAAGTTTCTTTGATGAGGGGTGAGAACTGTACTTATCTGTAGATATGAGGATAAATATTTAGAATGTAGTTGGTGATTATACCAGTTTAATAAAGTTGTAGTTATTGGTATACCTCCCATATGCATGATTTTACTAGCCTGGGTAGCTGGCTAGGATTCCAGTACCCTTTTGTTGAGTGGGCCTTAGGTCCAATTAGTGAGCTGTTGGCTACCGCCAAGGTGTGTGAACCACTATTGTATCCCTAAGGTTATCATGCCTTAGGGATGATATATACGCCCATATAATAGCCTACAATGTTTTGGGAGTCTCTTGGACAATACTGACCAACAACTTGAAAGAGGACTTCTCATGACTGGTGTTGGGATTTTTGTTGATAGTCTATAACTCTTGAAGGGAGCATTGTCAGCCCAGATGGGAAAATTTATTTATTTAAACTATGTAAGTATATGTATATGCAGAATTATATGTATCATATGTAATTATAGGTAGATAGATAATAATATGATGCCTTACAACTTTTCAAACATTCTTGTTATTTTACTTTGCTTCCTCCTTCTAATTTATCTTCCTCTCCTCTCCCTTATTAAAGCCCTCCCTCCCCTCCCCCACTGTGTCCTCCCTCTCTATTTCACCCCCTCTATGGTCTCTTTTACTTTCCTGGTTTCTGCACTTGTTCCAAGCTATGTACTCACATTGAAGACTTGGAGCTGGTAGCCTCAGATGAAAGAGAACATGTGACATTAGTCTTTCTGGGTCTGGGTTACCTCACTCAATATGATCTTTTCTAGTTCCACCCACTTACTTGCAAAATTCATGATTTCATTTTCTTTACAGCTGAATAGTATTCCATAATGTATATGCACCACATTTTCATTATCCGTTCATCTGCTGAAGGACAGTTAGGTTGTTTCCATTTCCTGGCTACTGTGAACAATGAACAATGGACAAGCCTGAGCAAGTATCTGTGCAGTAGGATGTCCAGTCCTTTGGACATATGCCAAGGAGTGGTACAGCTGGATCATATGGTAGATCTATTTCTAGTTCTTTGAGGATTCTCCACACTGATTTCCATAGTGGCTGCACCAGTTTTTAATCCCACCAACAGTGAATGAAAGTTCCCTTTTCCCTACATTCTCTTCAGCATTTTGTTCTGACTGGGTTAAGAAGAAAGTTGTTTTGATTTGTATTTCCCTAATTTTTCTGAGATATTTCTCAGGCATTTTCATTTCATCTTTTGAGAATTTTCTGTTCAGATCCCAAGCCCATTTTTTAAATGAGTGATTTGGTTTTTGTTTTGTGTTTTTTTTCATATAATATATTATGATCAAGGTTTCCCCTCTCTCATCTCCTCCCAGATCCTCCCTGCCTCCCCATACATCCAACTCCATGACTTCTTTTTCGCTCTTTTTAGAAAATGTCTTAGAGTTTCTATTGCTGCAACAAAACACCATGACCAAAAAGCAAATTGGGGAGGACAGGGTTTATTCTGCTTACATTTCCACATCACTGTTCATCACTGAAAGAAGTCAGGACAGGAACTCAAACAGGGCAGGAACCTGGAGCCAGGAGCTGATGCAGAGACCATAGAGGGGTGCTGCTTACTGGCTTGCTTCCCCTGGCTTGCTCAGCCTGCTTTCTTTTTTTCTTTTTCTTTCTTTCTTTTTCTTTTTCTTTCTTTCTTTTTTTTTTTT